GCATACATGGCACATTTCTTAAACTGATCGAAGCTATCTATGACAAACTCACAGCTAATATTTTACTGAGCGGAGTAAAACAGAAAGCCTTTCCACTTAGAACTGGAACCAGACAAGGTTGTCCTCTGTCATCATTACTATTCAACATAGTGCTGGAAATTATAGCTAATACAATTAGGTAAGACAAGGAAATAAATGGCATCCAAATAGGATCAGAGGAGGTCAAACTCTCCCCCTTTGCTAACGATATGATCTTATACTTAAAGAACCCCAAAGACTCAACCACAAGACTCCTGGAAGTCATAAAAAAATATAGTAATGTCTCAGGATATAAAATCAATGTACACAAGTTAGTTGCCTTTGTATATGCCAGTAACAGCCAAGATGAGAGGCTAATTAAGGACACAACTCCCTTCACCATAGCCCTAAAGAAAATGAAATACATAGGAATATACCTAAGAAAAGAGGTGAAGGTTTTGCCATGTTGCCAAGCCTGGTTTCAAACTCTCAGGCTAAAGAAATCCTCCCACCTCAGGGTACTGAGTAGCACTTTCTGCCTTTTTTGAGCTAAGTAAATTCATCTTTATTCATGACATTAAATCCTCTGCCAAGGAAGCATCACATGCCCATTTTAACCACCTATCTCAGTGCCTTTACCAGCCCTACTCTCTGGAATGCTGCTGGATATAACTGCCTATCACATTCTTGGAAGAAAATGACTAGAATCTTAATTACAACTCCCATTTCTTAAGAGCCTCTTATGGTCCATGCACGTGACTGTGTGTTCATTCTAATCTATACAACACTCCTGCATTGTATGCAAGACTGTTCTCACTATATATATGAACAGAGTCTAAGACAAGTTGAGTTGGCCACAGCTAAATGAGTTGTAGAGCTAGGATTCAAAACAAGGTTTATCTGACAGCAAAACCTGTATTTAGACCAGGTACCTTCATGTTACACTTCAGCAGACAACCCAGATACATGATGACTGAGAGGACATACGAGGGTTGTCTGGAAAGTATCCAGCCATGTATATCTCTATTTTTCATATTACATGGGTAGATACTTTCCAGACAGCACTCCTATATAAGGGTCAAGGCAAAATTGCTTTCTTCACAGAACACTTAGCCAACCAAGGAAGCTGTTGAGAGTTGGGACTGAAAGAACTGAGAGGCAATTTCACTATAGTCTTACCACAAGAGTTAGTTCTCTAATAGAAACTGTTTCTGAAAATCCATGAGTTACTTACTTGACCAAGTGTCTTATGAGAATTTCCAGCATCTCTCGGTTCTTTTCTGGTAGCTTATATACCAAGGAGTGAATAGCTCCCAGCCGGTAATCCAGATTATCAGACTCTGAGAGAGAACAGTGAGATGGTTTAGCTTTCTCAGCAAAAGGCTTGAGCAAATTATCATACACACACAAACACACACACAGATGTAGAGAAAGACAACCAGAGACACAGAGAGAGTCAAAAGAAATTAAAAAAAGATAGATAAATAGGCACAGAAACACAATGACAAAGAGAGGCATACAAAAAAAGACAAAGAAAGAAAAAAGGCAGAGAGAGAGAGAGAGAGAGAGAGAGAGAGAGAGGAATGAACAAAGATAAAGGCCTAGAAGGAGGAGGGACAATGGAGAAGAAGAGAAAAGGTGAGAACAAAAGAGAGACTGTATCAGAGGAAGAAAGAACACTGGACACAAGAGGTTGTTCCTGAAGTCTCATGAACAAACTGCCAGGTGAAAACCTATTGCACCCATGTGACTTGTCTAACTGAGAGGTGCACTACTGCCTCTAGTTTCCCATAAAAATCGAGCCCAGAAGTAAAGACCAAATATCCTTTGCCTGAACATCAGTAAGAGGTAAAGACCCCTGAATCTTTTTCCTGTGCACCACAAAAGGCATGATGCAGGAAAGGATCACATAGACATGTAAAATGACACGCATACATACAGTAGACTTAGCCAAAATTTTAATGCTTCTTCAGATGCCAACTTTTGGAATGATTCTATATGCCTTATTTCCCCATGTACTCCTCCATCATAACAGTCACTTTTCTCATCTAGAAAATGTGATACTAGTGCTAACAGAAATAGCAATGAATCATAACACATTTGAAAAGCATTTGGAAAGGCAAACCACTGAAGAAAGCTGAAACAACAGCTTTCTGTTGATATACAACTTTCTGTTTCTTTGTGATATAACTATTTTGCTATTTTCCTGTTAATGTGAGCCAATGTTCTTGTTCTGATGAAGAGGCAATAAAATCAATAAATCAGTAAACTCTTAAGATCACCACAGTCCTATAGTTAGTTATTTTCTCCAACCCACTCACCTAATATAGATTTATGAAAAGTAATGCAACTTTGGAGTAAAGCAGCAGGATTACTCTCATTTGGCAGCAGGAAAAATCTGTGTATGTGCCTCTAAGTTTTTGCCACCAATCCCTTCCCTTCAAGCAGTTTCCTAGGCATATTGGTATAAACCTTATTAAGTAACAAGAACAACACAATTAAGGAGTAACATAATACTTACTGGCAGCAGAGACCAGCTCTTTGTGAAGCTTATAGGTCATGACAGGTTCAGAAAGATTCCTGAAATGAATGAAGACTGTAAGTTAGTATACAGAAAAAACAGGCCTTGAATTCTCTGTTCTGTGGGCACTGAGGATAAATTTTCTGAGTCATATAGCTTAAGGAGATTATATATAATACACTTTTCTACTCCCATGAAGCCATTATGAGATTATATGCATTTTCTACTCACAGGATGTTTTTTGATGTGATACAAGGTCTGACAAATAAGTTCACGCACTCACCCTAGGAAAAGTGCTACATATCTCATGTCTGAATATCACCATGGTCACTTTCAAAGTGCTATGCACTGACACAAGTGCCCAGTCCACTCTTCAAAGCAATTTTCAAACTCTTTCTAGAATGAAATTTGTTGTTAGATTACTGTTGATATACTCAAAGTTATCAAAATTTCTTCTTTTCAATATTTCCTTTATCATTGTGTAAAGAAAAAAGTCATTGGGGGCCAGATCAGGTGAATAGGAAAGGGGTTCCAATACAGTTATTTGTTTACTAGCTAAAAGTTCCCTCACAGATAGTGCCATGTGAGCTGGTGCATTGAGAGCCATAAATTCAGGTCATTCTCATCTAACTTTTTCAGGCAGCCTTTTCAGCGCTTCCAAATAGTGAATTTGGTTAATTTTGTCCAGATGTTACAAATTCATAACGAACAATCTTCTTGATAGCAAAAGCAGTTCAAATATCATTTTGTCTCTTTTTTTTTTTTTTTTTTTTTGAGACAGTCTCACTATGTCACCCTCCATAGAGTGCCATGGCATCACAGTTCACATCAAACTCAAACTCTTGGGCTTAAGCAATTCTCTTGCCTCAGCCTCCCTAGTAGCTGGAACTATAGGCACCCACCACAATGCCTGGCTATTTTTTTTTTTGGTTGCAGTTTTCATCGTTGTTTGGCTGGGCCAGGCTGGGTTTGAACCCGCCAGCCTTCGTTAATGTGGCCAGCGCCCTACCCACTGAGCTACGGGCACTGCCCCATTTTGAATCTTGATTTGGATTGATGAAACATTTTTGGTTGTGGAGAATTGGCTGACTTCCACTGTGAGCTTTGACATTTTATTTCAGGATCATATTGGTATATCTGTCTCAATACCAGTGATAATACAGCCCAAATCACCATCTTGCCTCTCCAAAACGTCTTGATAAACTTCTACTCTTCTTTGCATTTGTTCTTCAATGAGGTCCTTTGGGACCATTTTTTACACACACCTTTCACATGCCAGCATTTTCAGTTAATATTTTCCTGTCTCTCCATCAGTGTTTACTTACTCTGCTATGCTTCTCATAGTCAGCTGATGATTTTGACACACAATTTGGTGAATTTCTGCAGTATTTTTGTTAGTTATGCTCATTACTAGCCATCTGGGCCTCTATTCATCAGTGATACTTTCTCTCCCCTCAGAAAATATTTAATCTGTTTGTATATTGCCATTTTCTTCATCGCATTAACACCATAAACTTGGAATAATATGTCCCTAATTTCACTTCCACTCTTACCAAGTTTAGCAAGAAATGTAATGTTTGTTCATTGCTCTAATTCAAGCTCTGACATTTTCACAGTGGCACACAAAAGCATTCAACAGCAACAATGAACACCACTCAGCAAGACACTGCCACATGGTAATATGAACACAACTGGTATAGCAAGTTTATGAACCCTTACCAAGCTGTTTGTACAATGATGCCAATATTAAGTGCCTTTCTGAACTTAATTGTCATACTTCATATACATTTTCTATTCTATATAGCTTTCTCGGGATAAGACAAGTTAGTAGTAAATTAAGAGACTTGCAAAGGTAAGGATTTAAGTCTTTAGCAAGGTCTCTGATTAGGTCCCATAACTAAAAAAGAGACACTACAAAATACCAGAGTGGACCCAGTGTAAATGCTACCATTAATCCATGATAACTTGGTAAGTCTTTAGAATTTCCAAAGCATTTTTAAATCTGTGCTCCCAGTGATCCCTCCCCCACTAACCTGTGAGGTAAACCACTTATTCAAAACCCACTCATTGGAAGAGGAAAATGAAGCCAAACAAAAAACATTTAATAACTTACATGTGCCTGGCATTGTACCAGGCAATGGGACTCAAAAGATAAGTAAGACATACTCCAAACCTCTAAAGAGCTGATTGTCTAGTAGTTCAAAGCACTATATACAAACTTTACAGTGCAGCAAGACAAGTGTGATAATAAGATAAAGATACATGGTAGTTGACTCAGAGGAAGTCACTAACTAATAATCATGAGGAGGAGGATAATATTAGCAAAATCCACACTGTACTAAGTGATTTACATGTATTTACTCACTTAAACTGCATGGCAACCCTGTAAGGTAGATACTAATATTGTCTGCATTTTACAGGTGAGGAAACTGAGGCACAGAAGAGTTAAAGAACCCATCCATGATTAGACAGCTCATAAACGGCAAAACCAGGAATGCTGTCTCCTATGTTCATGTGGCAATAGAAATAGAAATGGTGAAGAGATACTCTGGGAGGCCGAGGTGAGTGAATTGCCTGAGCTCATGAGTTCAAGACCAGCCTAAGCCAGAGCAAGACCTCATCTCTAAAAATAGCTGGGTATTGTGGCAAGTGCCTAAATCCCAGCTATTCAGGAGGCTGAGGCATGAGAATCACTTGAGCCAAAGAGTTTGAGGTTGCTGTGAGCTGTGACAACACTTCACCAAGGGCAACAAAGTAAGACTGTCTCAAAAAAAAAAAAAAAAGTGGTGAAGAGAGTGTTTTGAAAGAGGTTAAGTAAGAATTCCTTCATTGATTGGATATGATGGTAAGGGGGAAAGTGATCCAGTGTGAGTGACTGAATAGGATAGGAATTAACACCAAAGTAGACATGCTAAGTTAGCGGGCCTATGGGTTAGCAAGGAGCAGAAGTCTAAGAAGCTAGATGTAGTGCTTGCTTTGGCAGCACATACTAAAATTGAAATGATACATAAAAAAATTAGCATGGCCCCTGAGCAAGGATGACATGCAAATTTATATAGCATTCCATATTTTTCATCCATAAGAAAAGATGGAGACTTTACATCTTTTCTGTCTACCTGCATGGAGTTAAAATACATTCTTCTTAGTAAAGTATCTCAAGAATGGAGGAAAAAAGTATCCACTGTACTTAATACTAATATGAAACCAATATATAAACAACTACATGTCCACATGAAATAAAAAAAAAGACTAGTATGGTCTAGTGGGGGAGGGGAGAGGGCGGGCAATTGGCTGAACCTCACCTAGTGTGCATAATGTGAGGGTGATCAGCACACCCCCTGGATGAAGGGCTCAACTACAACTTGAACTTTACCTTAGAAATGAAAACAATGTAAGCCAGACATGGTGGCGCTTACCTGTAACTGAGCACTTTGGGAGGCCGAGGTGGGTGGATTGCTTGAGCTCAGGAGCTGACGAGCCTGAGTAAAAGTGAGACCTTGTCTCTACTAAAAATGGAAAAACTGAACTAGCTGAGCATTGTAGCTGGTGCCTGTACTCCTAGCTTCTTGGAAGGCTGAGGCAAGAGAATCACTTGAACCCAAGGGTTTGAGGTTGCTGTGAGCTATGATGCCACGGCACTCCACCCAGCGCAGCAGAGTAAGACTCTGTTAGGTAGATACCAATATTTGGAGTATGTCTCCTATGTTAGAAAGCCCCTAACTAGCAGGTTTGTGAACTAGATGGGAAAAGCTACATGCAAGGCCCTTCTAGCAGGTCTGTGAACCTGATGGGAAAATTATGAATCCAGGTCAAAAACAGAACAGTTGCCACTAAACCAGAAGAGATGGCAAACTGGCAACTAAACTACTAACTGGGGACTTTTAACATTTCTTGTTTGTATTAGGACCGTGTATGAAAAAGAAATGAAATGAAATCAATGATGAAAATAAATAATTTTTATTTCATATAAAAATCCACATTTCCTACCTCTTTTGGAAAGTTGAAAATCTGCCTCCATTGGGCCCATGTAGTTATTTGTGTAATTAACATGGCTGTTCACATATAAACATGTGGATTTGTATGCAACAAATGAAAGTTTGAAGGGCAAAGTGTTCAATATGAAAATACTCTAAATCAAGGTGGGGAGGTGGCTCATGCCTTTAATCTTAGCACTCTGGGAGGCCAAGGAGGGTAGATTGCCTGAGCCCATGAGTTCTAGACCACCCTGAGCCAGAGCGAGACTTCATCTCTAAAAATAGCCAGGCATTGTGGTGGGCGCCTGTAGTCCCAGCTACTCGGGTGGCTGAGGCAAGAGAACTGCTTAAGCCCAAGAGTTTGAGGTTGCTGTGCACTGTGATGCCACAGCACTCTACTGAAGGTAACAAAGGGATACTCTGTCTCAAAATAAATAAATAAATAATAAAGAAAAGAAAATACTCTAAATGTATTCACTTTCATTTCTGGCCACTGTATGTATTTGAAATTTCCATCATTCTAGTGCAGTGGTTTTCAACCTTCCAAATACCGTGATCCTTTAATACAGTTCCTCATGTTGTATTGACCCCCAACCATACAATTATTTTCATTGCTACTTCATAACTAATTTTGCTACTGTTATGAATCGTAATGTAAATATTTGATATGCAGGATGTATTTTCATTGGTCGCAAACCACAGATTGAGACCTGCTCTAGTGTAAATAAAAAACAACAGACAAACAAACAAACAAAAACAGCCCTGGAAAATAGCAAGTAGAAAGACTACAAAGGGGATTGCAAAAATGACCAAAGAGTATGAGAAAAAAAAAAAAGCAAGTTCACAAAGCAGAATCCAAAAGAGGAGAAAGGGATTGTTACAAATAGTTCAAGTAAGGTAAAGACTAACAATTGTTTTTTGTGTGCAACAATTTAGGAAGTCCCTGGTAAGGGCAACTTCAGTGGAGCTGAGGAGGTGGGAGCCTAATTGCAATGGGTTGAAGAGTAACCTGAGGAGTTAAAAAAAGACATAAAAACACACAGCGTATGTATATTACCTGATACAACAGCTTGGCTGAGAATGTATAAAGTATCTCAATAGGCAATCTTTTGTAAGAACCTGGCTCTAATTATTATCTATATGGTCAATGAGATCCAATTTTTCAGCTCAAGCCCAAATTCATCACTCAGGTTCAGACCTATATATTCAAATGGTTTCATGCCTTGATTTCTTGAAAGGCTTCCAAATTTGTGATATGTAATATGTACCTTATTGTCTCATTCAATTATGGTCTTCTTCTTGTATCTCCCAAATTAATAAATATGTGGTCGTTTATTTGGATGCATGGGGCAGAAAAGTGGAAGTCACATTTTTGTATCTTTCTCCCAAATTCTCATGTCCAGTTTATCAATTTTATCTCCTAAATCTCTTGAAAGTGCTTACTTCTACTGGTATCCACTGTAATTATTCCCTAATCCAAGAAAGAGCATAATCTTTTACCTGGAACACAGCAAAGACCTACTAATTGATTTACACCTTGACCCAGTTTGTCTACCACTATATATTCTTGCCATTTTTCTTTTCCACTTTGGCAAATACAGGAAAAATACTTCTAGAAAGAGCATTCATAGTTACACAAACCTCCAAGATGGTGCTAAAGCAAAAGATCATTTAACAGCAATATCTGGAACCCAATGTATTTCGGATAAATTATATTATTCAGAGTTTAAGTATCTACCTTAATACCTTAAAGAGCTCAACAGTCAAAAAGAAGAGGTTTTGACACAAAGTATGGTGCATATGAATGGACATAAAGAATGAATAGGTTTATAAAACATGTCTAAAACTCTGTTTGCATAATATAAATTATTGCCAGAAAGTGAAACAAAATATTCTTCATTATTATATATGTACAAATATTGCTAGTAAGTTAATGTTTTTACTCATACTACTGTCACTTCATTTATGACAATAGTTTTATGGTTCAATTTTTTTCTATCACATAAATCAAAGTATGGTATAATAACATATCTCACATACCCACTCACCCAGTATGCTATTTTGGACCAAATGCAATATAATGCTTCAAATGGTCGTTATTCACTAAAACATGTTAACAAACATGAATTGTTAAAACTCATGACTTTTTACTAGTAAACCTATCATGATATCACTCTACCTGTGAACAATGCCAAAGCTTGTTCAATTATTTCAAGGGCATGATTTTTAAAATAATCTTTCTGACCTTTAATACAATTAACAATTTTATTATTTTTATGCTTCCATGCTTTAATTCTCAGATTTTAAAAAGTCTTCTAATATACATACTTTTACAGAAATCCTCCTTATTCTTTTTTCTTTAGCAATCCTATCCAACCTCCTGAAATTACGAGTACATTAGCTCTAATTTCCACTCAGGAAACTGTGAAAAGCAAAGCTCCCATACATATCAGACATACCTGAGGTAGAATTTCAAAGAGCTGGTAATTGTCTTAATGTCCCAGTCGCTATTATGAAACTCAACATCTCCTGGGCATTTAGGATCTATACAAAAAGAAATCTTTTGTAAAGTTAATCATCCAAAAAACTTCCTCTTTAATTCTTTTAAATGAAAAAAAAAGTGTGTTAATTAAGTTATTCTATGATGGTTACAAAAGGCTGGATTGGGAATTAGGGAAGGGGTGATAAGAAGGACTGGTTAATAGGTTCAAAAGCAGGATGAATATATGATAGCACAACAAGGTAAATATAATCATCAATATGTTAGGGTATACTTTAAAACACCCAAAGGAGTAGAATTGGAATGGTCCCAAAACAAAGAAATTGTAAGTGCCTTAGGTCACAGAATTACCTCAATTTGATTAACTCACACTGTATACCTGTATCAAAACATCACATATACCCTAGATATAACTACTATATACCCAGAATAATTAATGTTATGAGAAAATTATTTTAAAATCAAAGGTGGAAAAAAAAGTAAAGTTATTCTAGCAGTTTACAAAATATCAAAACTTTATAGCAGGCTCGGCGCCTGTGGCTCAAGCGGCTAAGGCGCCAGCCACATACACCTAAGGTGGCGGGTTCGTATCCCCAGCCTGGGCCTGCCAAACAACAATGATGGCTGCAACCAAAAAAATGGCCAGGCGTTGTGGTGGGCGCCTGTAGTCCCAGCTACTTGGGAGGCTGAGGCAGGAGACTCATTTGAGCCCAGGAGTTGGAGGTTGCTGTGAGCATGATGCCATGGCACTCTACCTAGGGGGATAGCTTGAGGCTCCATCTCAAAAAAAAAAAAAAAAAAAAAAAAACTTTATAGCAAATTTCAAAAATTTTCTTGCATTCTGGCCTAGCATAAGAAATTAGGAAGTCATCTTTGACATTCATGAAATAAGAAAAAAAGCTGCTCAGATTATTCTTAGACCCATTAGAGGTCCTAAGGTAAACTGGTGCCCTCAAAAATGAAGTTACAGATATGCAGATTCAAAATATTAAAACTTATTTGAACAGAATCCCAGGAATAAAAAAATTCCTTAGGAAACAGTACTAGGATAGAAAACTTAAACTATAATTAATGCATTGTTAGAGGCTCAATATGTACATATTTGAGAGGTAAGTACTCCAAGGGAGCCCAGTCCTAGGGGAACCCTCACACTTCTGTGAGTTTTATATTCAGGAGCCTGATAAGATTTTGACAATGAACATATGGAAAAAAATCATCTCATGCTTTCAGGAAAGGGAGAAGGAAAGTATCCATTTTTCAGTATTACCAGAGCTTTTTGTTCTTTTCTAAAAATATATTCTATTTGAACATATTTATGAGATACATGGGAAATTTTGTTATATGCATACATTACAATGTGTAATGATCAAATCATGAAATTTGGGGTACCCATTACCAAGAGTTTATCATTTCCTAAAGCAATGGAAACAATCAACAGAATGAAAAGACAACTCATAGATTAGGAGAAAATATATGCAAACTGTAAGTCTGATAAGACCATAACATCCAAAATGTAGAAGAAACTCAAACACTCCGTAACAAGAAAACAAATGCCCCTATTAAAAAATGGGGAAATGATCTGGATAAAAATTTCTAAAAGTAAGATATACAATTGGAAAACAGCTATATAGTAGAACCACCATAGCTGACCACCTCCCTAAATTGACCACATTCTTAAGACCGGATATGTACCACATGTACCTATCAGTACAGGAGGCTTAGTTCCTTATGTTGACCATTTTGTTACAGTCCTTCAAGTGATTAACTTATAAAGACTCTACTGTGTTAAAAATAAGCTAAACAACTTTAATTAACACAAAATGCAAATTAAAACAACAAAGAAAAATCACCTCTCAAAATAACTATTATAATATAGATGAATAACAGTAAGTGTTGACAACAATGGAGAAAAAATAAATCACTTCTATACTGCTGGTAGGAATCTAAATTAGTATAGACATTTTGGAAAATAGTATAGGGGTTCCTCAAAGAAACTAAAAGTGGAAGTACCGTTGTTTTCAGCAATCTAATGTCTATGTATATGCAGCCAAAGGAATTAAAATTGACGTTCAAAGAGATAACTTTATTTCCATATTCATTTCAGCATTATTCACAGTAACCAACATATAGGAGCATCCTAAGCGTTCATTAATCAATGAACTGACAAAGAAAACATGATATATATATATATATATACCCAGTAGAATATTAGAATATTATAAAGCTTTTAAATGAAGGAAATTGTATCATTCATGACAACTCGAATCAATCTAGAAGACATAACGTTGACTGAAATAAACCCAGCACAAAATGACAAATACTATGTAATATGATGTAAATGTTGGATCTAAAAACATTGGTATCACAGAAATAGATACTTAAAAGGTGGTTACCAGATGCTGGGGGTTAGGGAGTAGGGATATAGAAAGGAAAGATGTTTGATTAAAGAGTATGAAGATCAGTTAGATTGGAACTATAAGATATAGTGATCTATTGCAGTTGAGAGTGACCACAGTAATGATATATTCAACATTTCAAAACTGCAAAAACACTGTCACCACAAAAAAAGGGAAACAAATTGATAGGTTGTGCATGTTAATTAGCTTGACTAAATCTTTCTACAATGTACACATATCAAAACATCTAATTGTTGCCTATAAACATACACAATTATTCTCTGTCAAAAATAAATAAAGAAATGGGAAGCTAAAGAGAAGGAAGACCAACCTAGACTTCTTCAAATGTGAAAAAGAAATAAACATTTTCTGAGGTAAATAAAAATTGGTCACCAATAAACCTGCTTTGTAAGAACTGTTAAAAGAAATTCCTCAGAGAGAAAGAAAATGATATAAACTAATAACTTAGATCTATATAAAGAAAGGAGAGACATTAGAGAAGGAATATAGACAGTCCCTGAGTTACAAACATTCAACTTATGTACAACTCACACAGAAAACACACTCAAAAAACCCTATTTAACACTGTAAAAATCCTTGATCATAAAAGTACTCTAGATACTAACAATAGACAATTCACATCTCAGAGCCCATAGCACAATGGTTACGGTGCCAGCTACATGCACCGAGGGTGGCGAGTTTGAACCCGGCCTGGACTAGCTAAACAACAATGACAACTGCAACAAAAAATAGCCAGGCATTGTGCCAAGCACCTATAGTCCCAGCTACTTGGGAGGCTGAGGCAAGAGAATCACTTAAGCCCAAGAGTCTGAGGTTGCAGCAAGCTGTGATGCCATTGCACTCTACTGAGGGCAACATAGCGAGACTTTGTCACCCCCCCAAAAAAAAATAGACAATTCAAAATTATAATAGGTGGCTGGGCATAGTGGCTCACTCCTATAATCCTAGCATTCTCAGAGATTGAGGCAGGTGTGTTTTTTTGGTTTTGGGTTTTGTTTTTTTTTTTGACAGTCTTACTTTGTTGCCCTTGGTAGAGTGCTATGGGGTCATAGCTCACAGCAACCCCAAACTCCTGGGCTCAAGCAATTCTCTTGCCTCAGCCTCCTAAATAGCTGGGACTATATAGGTGCCCGCCACAGTGCCCAGCTATTTTTAGAGATGGGGTCTTGCTCTTGTTCAGGCTGTCTGGAACCTGTGAGCTCAGGCAATCCAGCCACCTCAGCCTCCCAGAGTGCTAGAATTACAGGTGTGAGCCACCACACCCAGCAGTTGTATTTATTGAGCTCAGCAATTTGAAACCAGCTGAGCAAGAGCAAGACCCTGTTTCTACTAAAAGTAGAAAAACTAAACTAGCTGGGCATTTGTGGTGGCAGGGATGACTGTAGTCCCAGCTAATTGGGAGGCTGAGGCAAGAGGATCACTTGAGCAGAAGAGTTTGATGTTGCTCTGAGCTATAATGACTTCATGGCACTCTACAAAGGGAGATGAGACTCTACTTAAAAAAAAAAAAAATTACAATAGCAAAAAGAAATGGCATAATGTGTAGTATCTATGTGTGATATTTACATAATCAAAGATGGGAATAAATATCCATAAATGTTAAGAAATATCTACAGAAAAGTATTAAACATCAAAATAAGACTTAGGTAAATGAATGAAATTGTGCTTCCAGACGGAGAGACTAAATATTGCCAAGTTTCATCAACTTGAATCCACTTTATAGATTTAGTACAATTACAGTCAAAATACCGAAAAATTTACCTTTCCTGGAATATAATAACATAATTTTAAGGCTGACATTGAATAAACACCCAGCACAATGACTGAAACAATTTTTTTTTTAACGAAGAATAACTGTGAAGAATTTATGGTACTTGACAGGAAAATGATTAATGGGGCCATAACGGTAACAAGGTTATATATGGGTCATTATGAATGTTTTGAGATATACAAAAATTAAGAAGCGTAAAATCTGCATGGAAAGAAACAAAATGAAGCCCTCCTAGCAACACTGATATGCTGAGCAAGATGACACTTGCACAGGTGAATCAGAAAGCACACTCTTGACTATGTTTTTTGGGTGTGAAATAATGAATGATAACAGTCTGTGTCAAAACTTTTGTAGTGATATTATGAATGAGTACGATAGTCAGGCCAGTGGGAAAAATGGAAAGCTCCAGAAAAAACCATTCTGCAAATAAAAGAACTAAACATACAATAAGAGCATCACTTCAAATTAACGAGAAAAAAAGAATTATTCATTAATTGGAGCTTATTAAATTAACTATTTGGGAAAAACAGATTTCTGTGTTGTTGTTTTATATATATTGGTTTTCATCCACAGTTTCTGGTTCATAGCTCCCATAGTCCTTGTTACAATGTTGGTAAGCTTTAGGCCTCAGAAAACAGACTCTGCCTTTCTGACTTTTCCTTGTCCTCCTTTGACTTTCAGAAGTCAGGACTCTCTAATTTGAGTGTGTATCAAAAGACACTTACACCCCATTAGCTTCAGCCCCATACCCTGGAGGAAGGGATGCTAAACAGAGAGAACAGGAAGAATCTGAACAGACTGGACTTGTTGGGATAGACCAAGCACTTTTTAACAAATCACATTTCTATATGGATGT